GTCTCTCACACTCACTAGTCCCCGGCCTCCTTCCTTTCGGCTTGCGTACAGTCTCAGGGTGCTGGATTTGGGATGGAACCCCCCTAAACATCCGTGGTCTGAATCTCTTCCTTTGGCCACCTTATTATTCCTGCAGGGTATCTGATCGCTGGCAGGGCATAGCTATTCTTGCCATTGAGCTGGCTTTTTTATATATATATATATATATATATATACATACACACACACACACACACACACACACATGACGCCCCTGATTAAGGGTCTTCAACTGTGAGGTGGACCTACTAATCACTGTTTGTTGCCTCTCTGGCGCTTCTTGATATTTATTTCTTTTTTTTGGGGCGGGGGGTTGTTTTTCAATTCAACCTCTCTTTACGCACATATAATAGTTATTGAAATCCTTCCATGTCGTTTTACGCAAACTCTTTTGTGGCCAACATCTCCAGACCTTCTGTTGGCCTCCTGCAGTTCGGCACTGGCGGCCGCAAGGTGGATCTCCAGCTGGGCCTTCTCCTGCATTGCCTTCTGAAGCGACGCCTTGCTCTTCTCCACTTGGGCACACTGCTCTTTCACTTGCCGTTCCAGCTCACGCACCATTTGCACCTACAGGCCACACACATGTCGAGGAAAGTTTCATAACGCGCGCAAGATCCATTTGATGTATATTCGAGAAAGTCTGTCAGCTCATGCTCGCTAGCTGTTGAAGAGCAAGTCTGAACTTGTGGCGAGGTCGACTTCAAATAAACTCCTCATGCACTGATTTTCTTCCAAGATATGTGAGTCATCAAAAGCAAAAAACATCTTCACTACACAAACTGTGCCAAAGGTCGAGGCAGCACTGCAGCAGGCAGCATGGGAAAGATCTTATCGTGTGAAAGTGTCTCAGAAGACTTCCCCCCACCCTCTACTGTAAAAGAAAAAGAGAAAACTCAACTAGAGCAGTTTGTGAAGTATCGCGGCTTTGCGCTTTTGAGCCATGACTTCAAGTTATACTTATACCATCATTTAAAATAGCGGCCTCCCTCAGTTGGGGGATGAGGGGGGGCACTATTTTCAGGACTAGTTGTGGGGCCAAAGTTGAAGACATACATCAACACTGCATCAGTGACATACATGAAATCTTCCGTTTTTGCTTGGATGCACACTTGACTTTTAAACAGAATTTTCTGAAGACTTGTACTTGTATGTTATCAGGTTGCAGGGTGCACAAAAGATTTAAGGACATCTCATGAAAACTAAATTTTCTGTATTAAGTCACATTTTTTTGAGGAGAATATTTTTTTTTAATTTAGTACAGCAGTCACATCACACCCACTCATAAATTGCAAAGGTTTTGCACCTAATAGTAAATATTGTGTTTATTTCAATTGCTCATTTCAAAAAGTGAAACTTACATTGGAAGATGGCCGAAAAGTTCATTTCTTTCATGAACAGATTCATTAACCACATATGTAAAGCAGAAGGAAATTTCCTGCAATGTTTCAATGAAATTAATATAGGAATTTTTAAAACTTAAGAGATTCACCTTTTGAATTGGGGTAGCGGTGTCTGGACCTCTGTCTTTTGTGTAAGCTGTGCAGCGTGCTAAGAAAAGTGACAAGAAAGGGGCCTGTGTAGTGTTGCAACGTGCTGACACTTTTGGCAGGAGATGAGAAGAAGCACCTGCCCCAGCTCAGGCTGCCTGCTCCACATGGACACTCTCAATGGGAGCAAAATTACATCCCTTAATAAGGTGTTCCCCATGTGAATTACTAGGTGCAAACTACAGGCTCCCGATGCCACGCTATGGCTCCTTCTTCCCTTTAAAGACTCAAAAGTGAAGCCTTTGAAGATATCCAAAGAAAGAAAAAAAATGTCATGTGAGGAAAATGACCTACGGCAAATTGATGATTGCCAGCGTTAGTCTTCTGAGAGGCTTTGGCCGGTGGGTACTGTAGATTGATGTAGGTTGTATTTAAAAGTAAGTGATAAGGGGTTCAAGCATTTTTAAAAACTATATCTTGCTTTTTTTTCAGCAATGGTTTTTTAATGGATTTTTACTAGGGCCCGACCAATTAATTTGCCAGTGTTTTTTCATACATTACAACATAAGAAAGAGATAAGGACATTCAAATACTCCCATCCAAAAACAATCCAAAGTAAAAAACAAACACACAATAACAACAACAACATCAAAAAACAGCCTATTTTTCTTACTTCTCTCTGTTGTAAAGTTAAACAAATATTTTTGGACCAAGAATTCTCTTATAGTCTCTCCATACCGAATGTTGTTTAGCTGGCTAACTGCTATTAGCAGTTAGCTAGCTGTAATGAAGGAATCCAAACAAAGATTGACTCTCTCTTATGAATCATGGGTTTTCTACCAATGACACCTTATTTTATTTCTGAAAGTTTTGCATAACCGAGTTTCCTTATTCAGTCGACAAAACGGATGACGTCTTGATGGCACATCATTCAGACGCTGCGTATGGAAGATTACCAAGAGACACACCTAAGACGATAACGGCTGCGCTTTCATTTCCAAGCACCTACTCAGTCACCGTGTCTGCAGTGCCGTGTGGAATGATAACATTCATATGCGTATCGATATAACCTCGTGTGTCCATAATTCAAAGCAGTACAGGTGGTGGAGGTCAAACTCCAACACAGTACAGTAGCCTACATTATTTTACTGCGTGTTGTTGTCGTCCACTTACTCAAAAGCCTTTGTGGACAATATTCATACATCAAACCAACATCCGCACGTCAGAGTAGGGCTTTGCACTGTTATTTGGCCAAAATGCCAAATCCAGTCCAAGAGGTTCCATGAGATAAAGTTCACTTTGAACATCTTACACTAGGCGCGTTTGTGCGTGTAGCCGAGCAGCTAATATATCACGACAGAGGACTCTTTTCATCCTCAGAGGCCTTGTCTGTCCTTAATTATTAAAAGAGGAGCCTTACCAGTGGCCCCACACTGTCCGCTGTTTGATGCCTTTCAAATGTGAGCTTGCTGACAGACGGCCGCAGCAATATGCGCGTATGCGTGATGCGTGCGGCACGACAGAATGACGACACTGACAACAATGCTATTTGTGGCTCACGGTGGTGATTAGCCACATTAAAAAGTGCTGCGCACGATCCGCCTCGCTTTAAACCGCCATTTTCAACGTGTTCATTCGGGATCAAAGACAACGAGATTTGCGAAGGGGTGTGCATGAATAAGGGCCACAGATATGAGGTTTCACTCTTGCTGAGCGGATGCACTTCATTGGATCACTAATAGGCACGAACACATTTTAGATATATTGGGAACGGTTTGTGTAAATGAACTCTGCCAAATTTCAAAGATCAAAATAATAATAATCGCCAACTACGTAAAATGAGGCTTCAAAGTGTCGTCTGCGCTGAATTGTTAATTAAGTATCAGTTCCACAATCTGGAAAACTTCATCTAGCATCGTTCCTATGCCTACACGTCTTAGTCTGGTGGCTGGACTGTATCCCAACAGGTCAACACTGTGACAACGAGGCACTTCAAACCCAGCCCGAAGTCCCGGTTCACATGCTTGGCTGTCACATCCCACTTTGAAATTGTTTGTTTTACCTTTCTCTTCCACATTTTCTCTGTGACCTGCGCACACTGACAGCAGACAACAAGGCACTCTTAAGTAGAGGTGTCAAATTGTCGCGTTAATTGCGGATAATTAATTACAGTCATATTTAGCGTGTTATGTTTTTTAATCACGTTAATCTAAATTTTAATCTCTAACTTTGTTTCTGTAGGTGGGTTGCCTTTTTATGAGATCCCTTTTTATTTTATTATTGGCTTCCTGTGTTCGAGTTGTTGAGGGTGAGGAAACAATGGTCAGTCACAGCCTGAAGCGGACATTGATTGGTTGTCATTATGTTTGGGCTTGTTTAGCATATGCTGATTGGCTCCCATTGGAGTTGGGCAGGCCAGGTAAACAGCGGTGAAGAGAGGAAAGGTGAAAACGGAGGAGCATGTGAGAGTTCTCGGCCCAATGAATGGAAAATATACATTCCAAAAATGCCCCGACGGCACTATTGGTAGAGTGTTGTGCCGAATTTCTAAGGAGGAGTTTGCTTACCACCGAAGCAGCTCAAGTTTAGCCTACCACATCAATGCAAAGCGCCCAGTCGCGAGTGCAGCCACAGCTAACATTAGCACCGAAAGCGAAATATAGCGAGCCATGGCAAAGGCAAACTAAACTCGAAGAGAACACCCCACGTACGAGGCATGAAGTCAGCATAGCTGCTGTGTCCTCTAGAAGTGATTTATGTTTATTTCAACACTATTTTGATGAACAGTGTTATTTCTGAAGTGCTAATTTACAGCACTGTGATTTAAGGGTGTTTTATTTATTTTTTATTATCCGAAGCAAGTTCAGTGTTCAGTACTTGTATTGCTCAGAAAAGTATTCTTACTGTTTTTGATATGTTAACCTAAGCACTTTTTATGGACCTGATGTTCTATTTTATTTTTATTTAGACTTACCAAAAAAACAAAACAGTGCTATTCCCCATGGTGGTCGAAACTAAAGGTTGCAGGTAAGATTTGGGACTAGTATCAAATACAGCAGAAAGTAAATGGCCCGGACTGCATCTGTTCAAGTCTGTTTACAAACAATAAACCACTTTATAATGCCCCTTTTTATGTAATGTCAATCTTTTGATCTGCCTCAATAATGTCATGAATTTAAAACGAAAATCGGGGGTTTCCAAGCTATTTTTAAATGAGATTAAAATATAGATTAATTAGATCAATTAATTACATATCATAATTAATTAAAAAAAATTTTTTTTTAATCTCTTGACAGCACTACTCTGAAGTGCCCACTAAATAGCTAATTGCATATCACGCACAGCTGATACAAATGAAGGGGCTTAAATTCTTATTTAGTTAGGTTGAGATGACTTATGCCGGACGGCCAAGTGGGTTCCCGGACCTTGTTTTAGCCAAAAATCATGAAACCTAAGTCGGTGTCAAACATTTATACCTCCCCAACGGAGCACTAAATAGTTCTCAGTCTGTTCTTTTACAGCAATTACCTCCCAACATGAATAATGTATTTCAAAACTCATGTCTGAATTTACTTTACAGTGAAGAACGTTAGCATGTCACATATGACACTCCCTATACGGTTAATAAAAGGTTTCAAGGTACTGCCAGCTTGAGCCTGTTCAAAAGAATTTACTTGACATGCCTTCCTATGGGAAAAATGCATTTTGAAATTAAAACAACACAGAAGTCAACCGGCATAATGCAACAGATTGTTTTCCACTCCACAAATAGAAACCTGTCATGTTACTGTCTGCATTGTTCTGGAATGGCGAAAAATAACATCCGCTCACGCAAAGCATTTTAATACTGTAAGCTTCTTATGATGTGATTGCACAACGGCAAGGCGCTTCTTTATCACCTTTGCAACGATGTAAAGCAGAAACTGTTGTTAGCCGTGTCGCCAATTAGACGTGAAGTATTGTGTGGAACGCACGCAGCGGCTTTAAGCAATGTAAGCCGATGTGCTTGCCAGGGATGTGTTCCTCGAGCCGGTCCTTGGCATCTTGGTCCTTGGCCTTGGCCTTGGAGGCAAGTCCTTGGTCCTTGGCCTTGGCCTCGGAAGCAAGTCCTTGGTCCTTGGCCTTGGCCTCGGAAAATTTTTCAAGTCCTTGGCCTTGGCCTTGCCTCGGAAAATTTTCCAAGTCCTTGGCCTTGGCCTTGGCCTCGGAGGCAAGTCCTTGGCCTTGGCCTTGGCCTCGGGTTGCCGGTCCTTGGACACATCCCTGGTGCTTGCTGACGCTTAAGAGGTGTCGGCATCTAAAGGCACACGCGCACGCGATCGTGTACTCACGGTGGATTGCGAGCGAGTGTTATATTCGGCCTCCATCTTAGCCAGCCTCATCTTGGTGCTCTCCAGCAGTTCCTGGATGTTGTCGGTGTGCTGCTTCTGCAATTCAAACTTCTCCTTCTCCACATCGGCCACTGCCGCAAGCAGCTGGTTGGTGGTTGGGGGGTGTATGGGGCAACATCACAACAAGGACACGTTGAATTATTCTATTTGTTGTATGACACCACGCACACTAACACTGCAAGCAAAAAGTTTGAGATATCAGGCTTCGACTAAAAACGGAATATTCCTTGCAGTGATGTTCATCATGAGTCTTATGCAATTGCACACCTTTCTTTTCTTTTTTCTTTTTTCTTTTTTTTTTTGCCTTTGGCTGAAGCAGAACATCCAAGCGCCTAAACTTTACCTTCTTCTCCCACTCATTTTTCAAGCAGTCGACGCTCTGATCCGTCATCTTCTTCAGCTCGGCAATCTGCTTGTCTTTGCTCTCGCAGATGACCTGGGATTCCTTCAGTACACTTTGAACTGCGGGCGAGCGCACAGCAGGGGAGGGGGGGGGGGGGGGGGGGGGGGGGGGGACAAAGAGTAGTCAGGATGAGCCTCAGGGTATGCAAGACATGGACACACACAAACACAATGTCCTCCTATATGCCCGCTAACACAGTGGTGAATCGAGGTCAATAACTGGCTGGTGGTGCTTTTCTTTGCATTCCAACAGACGCTTGAAGAGACTTCAGTAGAGAAGAAGTGAACAATTTGACGCCAAGCATGAAAACATACTCCAGGATTACATTTCGGATTGAGCATCACAGCTGGACAACGTCAACGTGCACCAGCGCATCTCAAGGAATCGTATCATTTTCACCTTGAGTGTTCTCCGACATTGCCATAAACATCCTTGCAGTTAACCCCGCCATCCTGTGATCATCCTGTGAGACCCCCGCCCCACCCGCCCCGTCACCTTTCCACTCCAGTTTGTGGATCATCTCCTCAGATTCCTTCTGCTGGGCCCGATAACGACTCTTCAGCTCGTCAATCTCCACATTCCTTTGGTGCAGGATCTAAGCAGGTGGAAAATATTCAGTGCAAATGATGCCATCAATCATTCTTAAACAACAGGGACAAATGTTAATCTATACCATATGGCCAAAAGCATTAGGACAGATACAACTATAGCTGTAGCGGAGGCGAGTCCTTCAGAGATGATAAAGAATATATGCCTGCAAGCATAACTGTCTGGCTTTAGACGAAAATGCGGCATTTTTATGACCTCTTAGGATAATTTAAGGTTTTCATGTCATTTTTCAAGGTGAATTAATTCAGGCCTCTATTTTGGAAAAATCCAATTGAACTTGAGATGCTAAAGAACCAAAGACGCCGGACACCACAAACACTTTTTCCTGGTTGATTCTAAACAGATTTTTATTTATTTATTTATTTATTTTGATGGGCTTCAAGTCAGTTGTGCACCAAAGTCAATCAAAGGTGCCCGTATGGGCCTTAGTGAATGTCCTAGGCAACAGCCACACTTGCATGGGAACGTTTTTACCGCAAATCAAGGAAGGATTAAGATTCAGGATGCGCTCAGGGGATTTGATTGCTGTCTGTATGATGTTCCATATGCATGGTAATTCCTGTGGATGCTGCATGTAAATGAGGGAAATGGCCCCTGAACACAGCACCTGTGCTGAGGTGTGACATGCTAACTGCCTGTACATGATGCTGCCATCTGGGTACAATTAGTCAATTAGACCACGGGGGGGGGGGGGGGGGGGGGGGGTCTGACTTCTCTGCAATCAGTTTAAAAAAACAACAACAAAAAAAAAAAAAAACGGAAATTCTGACAAAATTTGATTAGCAGAAGATTTTTAGGGCTTTGATTATCAGAAGATTTGATTAGCAGAAGATTTTTAGGGCTAAAATGGCAGAAAATGTGCCTTTTTTTTTTTTTTTTTTTTACAAAGCCAGTCACACTGTATCATTGTTTTTGTTTTTGAAACCATCATTGTGTTCTACAGCAGCACACTTAGCAGCTAATCCGGTCGTTCTTGGAGTAAAATGGACATGGGCGATGAAAGGAAAAGGGAGTGGCCAGAGCAAAGTTCATAACACATTTAGGATTTTTTTTTTCCTAGCATCCGACTACAAATGTTTTTTTGGGTTTTTTTTTTTTTTTGTAGGCGACCATCAAGAAACGTGATGACACAGTGACAAGGCCAGAGAGAGGACACGGGAGGTGGCAAATGACGGCTTTTATGGTGGCAATTTTGGGCTTGTTATTGCTTTTTATACCCCAGCCTTGGTCCAGTCTGGACATAGTTGGAGCTAACACTCATCTTGCATAGAGCGGAAATGAGAAAAAGTCCTTGATCCAAAATCCCGGAAACAGAATTTATGTTACGGGTAAAACTGCTCATATAGAGTACAGTACTATGACGAGTGTACATATAAAAATACAGTCATTAAAGTATAAATCAGGATAACCGTGCCGTTCGTTCCAAACAACCAAATGCTCTTTTATACACTCTTCATTTGAATCATGAGTGTTATTGCGTTGAATTCAAATCGTAACATTTGCAACATTTTTGCCCATTTTCTGGCACATTACAGACCAAACTAGGAACTGAATCTTAACGAATTTACGCATTTTCTACTTTGCTAATTTAAAATAATGGCACGTTTTGGAGTTAAGTGAATAAATAAAATAATCAGCACGTTTGCATGCGGTACTTTTAGTCATGAGCAGTACACAGAGTACGGCGCACAACCTTAAGGTAGTGCACCACAGTCTGGCCTCTTTTCATTCCTAAACAAGGAGGAGGACAATGTCCAGCCCTTCATCGGCCCATACATTATTGAAATGGCGCTAATTAAAATGAAACCTTCCATAAGGCTCGTCAAAGCGTGCGCCCCTAAATCGTTTCTCTTTGAAGCCATTAGATGGAATACAGAGTCAGATTCAGAGGAAATGAAATTGGACATAACTCACCATCTGCGTTTAATTAAAGAGCGGGAGGGAGAAGCGAGCTGTCATTGCGTCTCATCAAGCGCAAAGCAATGGGCATCTTAAAGCTGGGAGAGATTCCCCCACCACCACCCTTTTTTCTTTTCTGTTTTATTAAAAGCTTCTGTCGCAGCAAAGAAAAGTCATGCCGTGGACGTGACAGATACCAGGTGCTTGTTCTGCAGCTTATCTGATGGGCGCCCGGTGTGAAGTAAACCATCTCCAATGCTTTGAAGAGAAGATTGTTTGCAGAATGGAAGGGGCTGGGGGGGGGGGGGGCAAAAGGAGCGAGTCCTTTCCTTTTCATTAGCCATCAAGTGGAGATAAGAGGCCATCAGAGCCAAGAGAACCAAGTTGAAGTAGACGTCAAGAGGACTCAAGCTGGCCCATTGGTGCACCATCATAAAATTAAGCCAACCATTGAAATCCCCTCTTGACTGGTGCTTGTAAGAGGGAGCACATAACTCCTACTCTGGCATCCCTTCACTGGCTCCCGAGTTCTTTTTAAGATCCTACTATTTGTTTTCAAACCTTTAAATGGCCTCGCGCCACCTTACCTCTCTGAGCTCATCCGCCCCTACATACCTGCCCGGCGTATCAGGTCTGCGCAACAGACATAATTAGAAGTACCAAGAACTAAGCGGAGGCTCAGAGGGGATCGAGCCTTTTCCGTTGCTGGTCTTTGGAATGACCTCCCACTCAATATTCGGCAAGCCCCCTCGCTGCCCATCTTTAAAACTCGTCTCAAAGCTCATTTGTATTCTTTGGCATTTGACTCGGTATGACTTGATCTTAGTCTTACCGTTTGGTGTTTTCTACTGTCTTTGTTATTAATTTGTTTTTATTGTTGTATATATGATATTTGCTCCATGTACAGCACTTTGTATGCAGCGATGGTTGTTTTAAAGTGCTCTAGAAATACAGTTGAGAAAAAGATAACAGGTTCGAGCTTAATTCAGTGAGTCCTATGGCAACATTTTAAGAAATGTACTGTACCCATGAGGATTACTTGTTTCGCAATTTAATTTGCATTGAAACCGCCTGGGTGTGCCCGTTGCGTGCTCTTCTTGCGTATTTAGACAAAAGCACGTCACAGACTTGTTATTAGGAAAGCTGGCAACTGTTTACGGTTGTGGAAAAAAATGCATCCTACGGTCTCTACTTTAATGTTGCTTTCTCACTTTGTCAACATCTGCGTCATGTCGCTGCTGCATTTTCAGTTTCTCCTCCTGATGCTTGCACTCCAACGCTTTCACTCTCATGTCAACCTGCAAACAAAAACACGACAATAAAAAGTGAAACTACGGCCTTTTTTTGTTTTGATGATATTATGACTTCAAGATGGCGCCGCGAGAGTGGCTGCCTTTACAGCAGCTCCAATACTTTTTGTTCTTCTACTTTCTTCCTTTCGTAACATTGCTGGTGTAAATCGGGAATTTCTTCATTGTGAGACGATTAAAGGTTTTACTTATTCTTTTTTTGTTCTTTTTTTTGTACAAGTTGCTAAGCAAAAGAATCAGAGTTTGTTAAGCTGCCAAATTTTCTACGAATATCTTCATATCATATCAACACATTGACAACGATAAGATGCCTCCGGATGAAAGAAGTCACATATTTCCCGAGCACGAGCAATTATGAAATGGGACAGAGTAACATGCAAAGTGTGGACAGGGGTTTTGCACTGGGTTGGCCCCTTTAGAGCGCCTCATCGTCACGGCATGGAAACGCCACTGGAGGCTCCCATCGGATATATTTTCACAGTTCAAACATGTGTAGGCATAAATAATATGCTAGACTAAGCAGACTAAGTAGAAATGCTATTTGATTGACAGCTGACAGTTGAATGGGGCATGGTTTCAGCAGACTCAGCAGATACGCCTACTACGTTCGAGAGCGGCAAGAGCAGATTTATTTTTTTTCCCCAATTTGATTACTTGGTGATTTTTTTTTTTTTAATCTTTCAAATTTGATCTTTAATCTTTCAAACTTGACACACCCGAGACCAGGGGTGTCAAACTCATTTTTGTCGCGGGCTACATTATAATTACAGTTTCCATTAAAGGGCCATGATGACTGAAACTATCCAAAGAAATCAAGAATAATGTTTTATGAAACTATTGTTTCAGTAACTGCAATGAGGGGTTTGGTAACAAGAAATGTTTAGAATATGTCACTGATTTATTACGAATGAAAATTTGAAATTTTGGTACACATTTTAGCAAGTATCATGGAAGTTGTCATCTTTGATTTGCTTTCATGGGCCACTTAAAATGATATGGCGAGCCACATCTGGCCCCCGGGCCTTAAGTTTGACACAAGTGCCCTAGACACTCGTGTCAAGGGTGCGTCAAGTTTGGAAAAGGTCTTAAAAGTTTCATAATTTTTGAGGAACTGAGCAGAACAGGCTCCTCCAAGTGATCAAATACAATGCATTTGACTTATTGAAGCAGCATATGGTTCAAAGTTATTCTTCTACACGTTCCCAGGGACTGTAACTGTAACCGTGAAATAATTGCTTGTTTGTTGGGCTCTTCCTCAATTCCCACGTTATTTCAAGAAGCTTTAATGAGCGCCAAGTGCTAATTCTGTTGTTTTATTTGGTTAATTACGATCTGCTCTTTCTTGAAAGGCAACATATTTTCTCTGCTCTTTTCAAGCTGCAAGTCGCCACACTATGTTTGTCCTTCCAAACACAAAGGGGAAGCTTTAATAGAAGGAAAGGAGCCCATCAGTTTGATGTGGCGACTCATGTTTTGTCAGTGTCTGGTCCTGGCGTCTTCATCATCCCCGGGGCAGGGTGACAACTGGGATGCCTTTGAGCGTGGGAGTCGGAGTATGTGTGCAAATGTGTCACAGAATGCTGCTTGGCTACTCGATTTATGAAAGAAAACTGCCAAAATAATACTTCAAGCAAAGTCAAGTAGCTAACACTAGACTTAAAAGTGATGGAACCATCCATCATCCATCCGATTTTGGCAGTACAACGCTTGTCCTCAGTATGTTGTGGGTGATAAATATTAACATTTTACCACTTGGTGGCAGAAATGGTGAAAAGTGGAGACAAGGGAGCCATTTGCTGAGTGTTTTTTTTTTTTTTTTTTTTTAATCAAATGGCTGACACTGACAACTTTGTGTCATTTTGTGTAAAAAAAGGTTCAGACAGGAGGGCAGATTCCGCAACTGTTTATGAACAAGCCTGCCGCTCTGCTCGGCAACAGTTGGACAAATTGTGGCAACAGTGGCATCATAAAATAAAATATTAATAAAAATGCTACTTTTAGAAATACGTGCCTCAAAGGCGGGGGGGGGGGGCACGTAAGCATCTTAGTGGGCGGGCACCGAGAGACAATCAGCACAGCCATCTTTCTTAACAAGCTAGAATTAGCATTAGTGAAATGGGTGTCCGTAGGTACTTTGTTATGTTTTCTGACTGTACACTAGAGGGCAGTGTTGCTATAAAAAAAAATACTGCTCCGATGAAAAAGGGAGGAGTTCTGTAATGGCGACTAAGTGAGTTGTAAAAACTAGTGTTGTGATGTTAATAGGCTGTCAAGTAAATAAAATGTTTGGCTACAATCTGGGCTTGTTATTCTGCCACCCACATACTTAATCCGGTTAGGGACTATTAAAGGGACGGACGAATACCTACTTCTGTCATTGCTTAGTTTGTCCTTTAAAGAAAAAAAAAAAATCTTGTCCTCCATGATCAAAATGGGCGTCCGACAGAAGGCCCATCTCTGATGCTTTTATTTTGAAGGTCTGAATTGTGACGGGATATTTTCGACAGGACTTGCATTGTCGAATCATCAGAGGTTCCACTCTAATGAATAATAAGTAATTTCCTCTCAGGGCATGATAAACTATCAACCGAGTAAGAGTATAAAAATAAAAGGTGTGAGCTGCACTGATTCATCACGCACTTAGACTAGAATTCATTCTGAAAAGTCTACCCTTGAGGATGTTCGATATAGTCATCTGCCTTCTTCTTTTTGTTGTTGTTGATCCATCAAGATTTGTTGGTGCAAGTGAAAGGACAACAAGAGAGTTGTCAGCGCGTCAACGGAAAACGTAAAGGACAGGCAAGTGCGAGAGGGAGGGAGGGGGGAGCGAGATGATTGAAAAGCAGGAGAGTAAACGCAGAGCCGATTCTGCAGGCACAGAAAAAAATGGATGGGATGCGCGAAGAAGAAGAAGAAAAAAAGGCACATGTGGAGGTGTCACTTTCTCAGCCTTTATTCAAATGCTCTTTTGAGAAAGTTTGTCAAACTAGATCAGAGGCGTTAAAAACTTGTTTATAAAAGGCGTCAGTGAAGGAGGGAGGAGGAAGAACGTGGTACACCTAAGGCTTCAGAGACGCCTTCAATCGGGCCGTCTGGGTGGTGCTGCTTTTTTCCCGCCTCTCTTCTTCAGAGTCATAGCTGGCAAGATGTAAGATGCCATCTTTTTTGACACCTCCCTCTTGAAAGGATGAGCGGATGGGAGTGCGGAGGGGGTGTGTGAAAGAAAGCGTGTGTACGGGGGAGGCAATCTGAGGCAAAGACGCAAACGGTTGCCCTCGAAACCGGCGCGGGGTCAAGGCCTTTTTTTCCCCTCGGGGGAGGGGGAGAGGGTGGGGGCGGGGATGCGCTCGCAAAATGTCTGCAAAGTGTTCAGGCCTCAAAAGCAAGGTTGCTTTTGTGCGTTCGTCTTTCGTCTCGTCGGAGACGTACAATGTTCTGCCGTGTGACTTGCATCCTTTGCAAACACAGATGCTCAAGGATAGTCGGGATGCGCCATCCCGCTGTCTTTTCCACTGTCTGACAACAATTTACATTTGTTGGTGTTTGTCCAAACGCTGAGAACAAAGCGACACTTTTGTTCAATCTTTGGTCATTTTTAGTTTTGTGTTATCATGATCGGTAAAAAGATGTTTTCTTGCATTTACACCTTGTACCGTATTTTACAAACTAAAAGGCGCACTGGATTATGAGGCGCACCTTCAAAAATGGCCTATTTTGTAATTTTTTTCATACATTGGGCGCACCACGTTATGAGACGCAATCTACAATGCTTCCACTAGATGGAGCTACGCTCAAGGAAATGCCAACAGAACGCTCAGATGTCAGTAAAACTTATTTAATAAAGCAGCGACACAGTTCAACTCTCTTGCCGCTGCTCTATTTCCGTGTTCAACTGCGTAACCAATCGCCTTAAGTTTGAACTCTGCGTTGTCAGCATGTCTCGAGCGAGGAGCCATTTTGGAGTCGAAATATTACCGTAACGACCATACACAAGCTGCATCGGATTTTAAGGCGCGCTGTGATGTTTTAAGAAAATGGAAGGCCTTTAGGTGTGGAAAATACAGTAATTGTTTTCCTGACTGAGACAACACACTCACAACGGGCAATTAGGCAATTAAATAATCTGATCTAATTAGTTTGGACAGCACTTGTTTCAATTTAACTTTTTTTTTTTTTTTGAAAGCTGTCCAATTGTACAGCAAAAACAAGGATGGTAAATGCAATATTAAAATGGGACATGTTATGGAAAATGGACTTAAAACAGAATCAACATCCCCACACTGAATTTCCCGGCTCATTACATGATCATCAAAGGGTGTGTGAAGATCCAGGGCCACTTTCAGGCTTCCATGTGCCACAAATGCTGTCAAGCATTATACATGGCAGGATAGAAGCGGGCGGACGTTCAATCATGCATGCAATGTTCTTTTTTTTTTTTTTTATGCATTATAGAATAAACTGTTCTACTTGTGAAATGAATGAAACGTCTAACACTACAAACAGGAGACCAAGCAGGTAAAACGCTGTGAAGAAGCCAGTGTGGTCAGGGGCTATTCATTCTCGCCCATGAGAACAGTGCTGCCATTAGATAAGAGTTGAATTCCTTGAGTGACCCAAAAAAAAAAATAGTGCTTGTACAATATTGTGCTTTACAAAAATCTACCATGACAGCTACAGTGCCTGTATTTGCTAATTTTATCTGAAAACCCCACCAAGAGTTTCAGTACTAAAACTGACATGATAAAACAACACACACTGAAATGTTCAATATGCGTATCATCAAATGTAGTGCTTAAAAAATGGGGGGAAAAATATAGAGCTTTAGGGTTTTGTTTTTTTTAAAGAGTTTTGCAAATAGCAATTGGCTCTAATTTTCTGCAATGGTCCATATAATATAAATATACACAACAACATAAAATACATGCATATTGCTGTATGCGCAGGGGTCATTCAATAAATAAGGTGAATTTTTTGGGATAAGTACTTCTAATCCTTTTTTTTCCCCAACATGCATATTGCTGTATGCGCAGGGGTCATTCAATAAATAAGGTGAATTTTTTTGGGAAAAGTACTTCTAATCCTTTTTTTTTTCCCCAATGTCCCAGCACTGTCATACACCTTTCCCATCTGTGCACAAGCTTCCATATTCCCCCAGCGTAAAAATGTCTCAGCCAGTCACTAGAACACTTTTGACTTCATCGTCACTTTCAAACTTGGGTCCAACTACGGTGAACTGCTGAGGCAGGTCAAGAAAGACATCAAGAACAAAAGCAGGGGTCATCAGTCAGAAGGAGTCATCTTGCATCATGATAAGGCAAGGCCTCACACGGCAGCAGCCCAAACGGTGCAGACCATCAAGAAGCTGGGCTGGGAACTGCTTTTTTTCCTTGAATCTTTCCAATCATTGCCGATCAGGCTTCGGCATTGGCAGATACTTAAAAACAAAGACTCGGACTGGGACTCGGGTGCCCAAAGAAAAAATGTGATTGGAATATCCAGAACTGAGCACTTGAAGGCAGAGCAGGACTTTTGCAAGACATTTTCCACAACTCCAACGGTTGTGACATACTAGGCGAGTCAAAGCAAAAGCGGCTTTACTGGAAGATTTCTGAGCCGTCACTCATTGTTCCAAAGGAAAAGAGCAGTCAGCATTCTTGTCGGTGCAGCTGGCGACACAGTCGGATGGATGAGGACCAGTTTAGTGAAAAAGCTGATGTTCATTAAGCCGCCGTGAGCTTAATGGCATACGGCATATACGTTTAACACTTGAGAAAATTTCCAGCTAAGCCTGGAGGATTAAGGGGGGAGCGATGTCACTGTGATTTGCCCTACACTCGACATTCTATAGCTCGGCTCCTTTTGCCTCCCACCCCCCCAAAAAAAGGTCTGATAATGAATAAACAGCACCTCTGCTGGTTGCAACCAAGTACCACATTGCGTTTTAGCCAGTGAGTACTAGTTAATGAAAAAAATAACATAAAATAAAAAAAACCCTCAAACTAAAATTCAAAAAAACTTTATCGTTCCCAAAATTAAAAAAGAACAACTAAAACTACACATTATGTTAAAACTAACACAATTGGAGCGTTTTTCATTTTGGTCAATTAGGATCAAACCTGAGGTTTTGGAGTTCATTTTAGATGTATTTTGGTATAAAGTGGTACCACTACTTACGAACGTCTCGTCATACGAAATGTTTAAGTTATGAAAGGTCTCAACAGGAAGATATTGCCTCTTGTTACGCAAGAAATTTCAAGATGTAGAGGTATCACTGTTTTGTATGTATTTGGATGTGCTAAGTGGCATTTCCAAGATGGTCGCAGCCAAGGAACCAGGCTGATCTTCAATCCCACAAAGCAGCCCAGAAACTGATGTTCAGAGATTGATGGATGACTTCGAAAGCACGCACACTACTGGAGCATGGGTGCATCTGCATTCGCAGTATTATCTTTCATGAAACATTGATGGATTTAGATCACTATTGCGCTACGCGTTTGTTTTTCGAATCACAGTTTGTTTCTTTTCTAACAAGGACAATCTGAAGATGATTCTAACAGTCGCGGATAAAAGTGCAAGCTATACGATCCAATCTGAATATCTGAAACGAAGATCAGAAATCCTTCAATTTTGCCACAATGCCAAAATGTGACAAAAAAAAGTCTCCATATGAAGCACTCATTGCCATATGGATCCCCAAAGTTCACACCTTTTCATCGAAAAACCATGTTTTGCTGAAAATCCAACCTTTGTAATATTTTGGACTTTATGGTGCATACCTCCTTGCTCTGCAGCTGCAGGTCCACGTCATCAGGCAAGGTGTGACTCCTAACAAGGCCGGACTTGAAAATCTACAGTAAGAAAAATGTCATATTGAATTACAAGGATTGAGGAAACACAAACAGTACGGTAGGTCATATGGGACAATTTACCGGAGACAAGGTCTTTCTTCGCAAGTACCCCGGCTTCTCAATCTGAAACAAATTTAAAAAAAATAAAATAAAAAACAAAACAGAATACCGTTAGCCCTCGTTGTCACCTTCCTCTTCAGACAAACCCTCACTGCTAAGTCGAACCGACATACCTCTATCACTCTGCCATAAACAATGCGGGAGACACATCAAAGCCTTGTCGGGAGGGGGGAATCTCTTCCATCAACTCTTGTCTGTTTAGAAAAACAGGCATTGTGTATTTCCGCTCTCGACGTGCCTTTTGTCAACACGCCCGGACCGCTAAGCCGTAAGCCATCTCCGGTCTGTTTACTTGCGGATGGACGCTAATGTGTAGACGTCCTTGCCAATAACTGACGTTCTTTGATTCGAGCACCAAGCTCAAAGAAACAGCAAAAGCAAACCACTAAACCCACATGAGAGCGAATAAAGGTCACAGTCGAAGTGATTCGACGGCATTAAATCACTGCGGTCGACTCGGAGAAGGGAAAGAACACTGTGTCGCTATTTGATATTTGTTTATGACCCACTTACATCCCTGTGAACTCTGACAATAAAGCCTTTTTCTGTGTCTTTGGGGGCCTTGCCAACGAGCGGCGAGATCACGGCCTTTCGCTTTCAAAACGGGCTTTGGAGATGACTGACAGCGGTGGCGCCAAATAAACAGTTGCCTTGCTTATCTCCTTGACGCGAGGATGAAGCGGGAGAACAAACAGAAGGGAAGAAAGCGTGCAACTAAAACAACATCTGACGCCACGCTGAGATAATCCACAACGGGATGCAAGATTGGAGGACGGGAATAGACGGATTGGTGATGGAAAAATTGTTCTGTCGTCAATAGTGGGATGACGTCATGAAATGGAGGAACATACCATCCGCAGAATTCTAATAACCGGTTAAACCAGATTTTTATTTTATTATTCTTGTTTTGTTTTTGTTTTTATGGCGTACTGTATGCCGCAATGGAAAATTTTTTCTGTCGTCGATAGAGGGATGACGTAATGAAATGGAGGAACGTAGAATCCGCTGATTTCAAATAATAATATTATTATTGGGGTTTTTTGGTTTTTTTATTGGCGTACTGTATGACGCCTAGCATGACTTTAATCAAGTCCTAAGAAAGCAGATACACCGTATTGGTCCGAATATAAGACAGTGTTTTTTGCATTGAAATAAGACTGAAAAAGTGGGCGTCGTCTTATATTCGGGGTCTAGACATTATAACCATTCACGACGCTAGATGGCCCAGATATCATTGAAGCGAATGCTGAACTTGACTCCCCAGTCCAAAGTGAACCCCTGTCACGAAGAATCAAAAATAAAAATAGCGGTAGCACGAAGAAGAAAAATAAAAAATAGCGCTAAGAAAGAAAAGAGAAAAAAATAATAGAAGAGATAACAGAAAATGGAGAAAAGTAGTGACAATCTGGAGAAAAGTGGGTCGAAGATCGGCCAGGTTAACTGGCAGCTGAGGAGAAGTTCTGATGTAATTTACACTTTAGTTTACATATTTAAATGTTCAGATATTAAGATTTGAATGAGGCAAAATAACATGCTTTTTTCTGAAATATATTGTCATTATCATTTGTTTCAGATGTACTGTAATTATTTTCTGTGTAAAAATTAATTTGGTGTTCAAAAAGTCTTTTTTCAAACTTGAGTCTTGAAAAAGAGGGGGTCGTCTTATAATCAGGGCCGTCTTATATTCGGGCCAATACGGCATATACCCAAAAGCGAGGAATCAGCCGCGCTCTAATTTGGATCCTCAAACCGATGGATCAATCAACCTCCTTTAATAGCAGCCCTGAAATCAAGCACGGCCCAAGATAGACATGTCGGCGAAATGCTGCGGTGCACTACCGCCAAAGCATTACGCTATCCCGTGCGCCCATGTGCTGTGCGGGCACACCTTCCCGTGTGCCCACACACATTACAGTGCACACGCACAAAGTCTAGCCTTCCAGTTGGCAGGGCATCACTGAAGTCTGATACGGATGGACGGCTCTGCCGCAAACACAGGGAAAAAAAAAAAGGGACAAGGCTCCACATCACAAGGCCTGGCTTGCCGGCCAAACAAACACGGCGTGATTGATGGCTTCCTAGTTTAGCACAGAATAACCTTTCAGTACTCCCGAGTGACCGCTGACAATGGAGGGCCAAGTGGCAGGGACTACCGCTGAATACATTGCATTCCTCCTCAGTCAGCATTATGTTTTTGTTTTTTTTTTTGTTTTTTCAACTGCAGGGTCAATGGACGTTGCACCTCACGCAATAGCCCCCAAAAAACAAAACAACGGAAATGATTGTGGTTGGTTGAATCACTGGGTACTACGGCTTCCTCCCGCATGCCCTAAATTGCGATTAATTAATGGCGAACAAATTACAGTCATAGACTACCCCCAAACTGCATAGCCCCCCCTCCCCCACATGTTCTAACAACTTGAGCCACCACATACATGATACTGTATTTACCGTATATTCTCTGAGCCCTTTAAAGATCAAGTCGAACCCTCGAAATCAGAGGTCCCCAAGCTTTTTTGCCCCACGGACCGGTTTAATGTCAGACAATATTTTCAGGGCGCGGCCTTTAAGGTGTGACGGATAAATGCAACAAAATAATATGATATGACCTGCATGAAAATTGTGGTATTTTCGAAACATAATAATAAACACGACACAAGGAACGTCCTATCTGACCGCAACACGCTCTGGTCGCTATGGTAACATTTAAACATGCCTTCAAAATAAGATACGCCGCAAATACAAAGTGCATGAAGAATACGACTCACCATCGCCACATATTTAGCGTGGGCTTGGTGCGTGGGAATCTCCTGTTGAGATAAATCCGTATTTTCAGTAGGACTCCTGATACTGCCTATAAAACGTGGCCTTCTTTGTCTTTAAAGTCGTAGGCTCCTCTCCCATTTCCTGGCTGGGCCTTTTCCATTTCCCAAAGAACCTTTCCAAAGACGTTTGTTTTTTACTCATTTTGCTAGCTCCTGGATTTCAATTTAGCGGTAACCTATCACGTGACCGAGAAGCGCGGCTTGACCTGCTTCAAGAGTGACACCCTGAAGACAGAAGTAACAGACAATCTGGTAATTTTTCAAAATAAAAAATCTTTCAGATTCCAAAATGTATAAAACGGAAGTTAAGTAAGTTATTTCTTCTTTTCTGTGCAGCCTGGTACCAAATGACCCACGGTCCGGTACCGGTCCGCGGCCCGGCGGGTTGTGGACCCCTGCTATCAAGCGCTTCGGAGTATAAGGCGCACCGTCAAAGAATGGCCTATTTTAAAACTGTTTTGATATATCGGGTGCACAGCATTATAATCCGCATAAAGTAAAAGCTACAATAGTGTCTGTAGATGTGCTATGCATCCACTAGATGGCGCTACACTGAAGGAAATGCAATAGCTTTTTGTACATCTGTCGAAACCGCTGCAGCTCTAACAAAGCACTTGACAGAACATTTAAAATACTACGTCCAAGAAATCAGATTATTCATCCATATACTGTATAAAGTGCATCGGATTATAAGGTGCACTGTCAGGCTTTGAGACATTGAATGCTTTTAGATGCACCTTATAGTGCAGAAAATACGGTTCTCTAATATTGAACACAGGTAACAACCAATCAAAATGCACATAAGCTTTCACAAGCTAAAAATACGATTCTGGGTTTTAAAATAGCCATACAAAGTCAGTGTATAAAGTATACTGAGCCTCTCAAAATGTTTTTTCTTTTATTCCTGTCCACATCCTCTTTGTAGCACCGCTTTGACTGTTACTCTCTCTTTTTATGGTTGACTAAACGTGATGAAGTACAATAGAGTGTATGCGCAGCCTCAAAAGTCAATACAGGCTCGCCGTTTTACATCGAAGGGCATCTGTGGATCAAATTATTTAATGTGTGGGTGTGAGTTGTCATTTTCTTGTGATAGCCGCATCACATCGTGACCCTTACTTCTTAGCTGAGTTAACTAATCGGTGCAACCCCAACTTTCTACCACTGTTGGATTTTAGTTTCTCAGTTTCTTTTTTTTTCCAACACAGACCCAAACGGCATTTAAAACAGATGGCGGACAAGCTGCCTGAAAGTTTGCATCTTTGAAAGAACAACAAAAACAAACCAAAAAAACATCTTGGCCAATCTTTAAGTGTCCAGTATGTCCACCAAGCCAATCCGTTGCAGCTCAGGTAAAATAAAGAAACCAATTTGAGCAGCTTCAAAACATCTGAAGCAAAAGCTGAATCCGCCCCAGAGCATGTGCAGGCTCGTCTCTGCTACAATTTCACACGAAGAGGCCGCTTTGAAGGAGAGCGACTACAAAAACTTCTATAAACTTGAAGGGCTTCGCTTGCATGTGTTTATGTGCCGAGACACATCTGTTGATTTGAAAGAGGCTGTCGAGGGGGTGGGGGTGGGGGAAGCATAGCCAAGCAATAACCGTTATCAGCATCGCAACACATGAGGAGAAGAGGAGCTGGAGTGTGCGCACGGCTTTATGTCTGCTGATGGATAACCGAGATTAGCGCCGCACTGAAGGACAGATCAGGTATAGGGATGCTACAACAGAGAGAAATACAGGTTGGAGGGACCTGCAAAAAAAAAAAGTAAGTTTGTATGGTGAACATGGTTCCTACAGGTGCAGAAAGAGAGAGTAAGGGGGCAATCAGAAGAGTGTTTATTGAGCTCTGGCCTTATGCACTCCAGACTGAGTGGATAAGAGAAGTAAATATGCCTCAGATGTTTAGTTTACACCGCCAGTTTCCCCTTTACCACCCAGAACAGCGGGAAGGTGGTCTTCGACACACGCCGGTACGATGTTAAATGAATGAGACGGCAATAAATAATTGCAGAACCTTTTCCACATTTAATACCTGCACAAAAAAATTGAGGAGGGGGGTGGGGGGAGCGCGCACCCTTAAAACGCCAGAGGTGCTCTAAATCTGTCAGATTTGCAAGGGCATCTCTTGAGCACAGCCCTCGCTTAAGGTTTCCATTTTTAAAAATTAATTTTGGAGGGATGTCAGGTTTTTGAGAACTTCAGTGGGCATGGTATATTTCTTCCACTTTTTTTCAAACTATTATCAATTTTGACTGTTGTCATTACGAGTGATTCAAAACCGATCAATGTGCTGCAGGAAATTACTCTACCAATTACTCTTGAATCCTGAAGAGCTATTGAAGTGAAATTTCCTCAACGTCAATTGCCCTCAATACGTTCTTTTTATGGGAATGGGCGGCGAAACGTCTTGGTTTTCACGTAGCCACAAAACAATATTCTCTGAGCCCTTGAAAGATCAAGTCGAACCCTCTAAATCAGAGGTCCCAAACATTTTTTGCTCCATGGACCGGTTTCATGTCAGACAATATTTTCAGGGACAGGCCTTTAAGGCCGGATAGATACAACAATATAATATGATATGACCTGCATGAAAAGTGTGGTATTTTCAAAACATTATAATAAACACAAATCATGAGACGAGGAACGTCCTATCTGGCCGCAACACATTCTCTGGTCGCTATGGTAACGTTTAAACGTGCCTTCAAAATAAGATACGCCGCAAATAAAAAGTACATGAAAAATACGACTCACCATCGCCGCTTATTATGCAGTGTAGGCTTGGTGCGTGTGAATCTCCCGTTGAGATAAAGCCGTATTTGAAAAAGGACTCCTGATCCTGTCTATTAAATGTAGCCTTCTCTTTTTTGAAAGTCATAGGCTCCTCTTCTTTCTCCTGGCTGGGCCTTTTCCCCTTCCCAAAAAAAACTTTTCAAAGACGTTTTTTTTTTTTTTTTATGCAGTAATCTATCGCGTGACCGAGAAGTGCGCATTCACCTGCGTCAAGAGTGACATACTGTAGACTGATATAACAGAGAATCCGGTCATTTTTCAAAATAAAACATTTTTCAGATTCCAAAATCAATAAAATGCAAGGAATGTAAGTTATTTCTTCTTTCTGTGCGGCCCGGCTCCAAATGACCCACGGACCGGTACCGGTCCACGGTCCAGCGGTTGGGAACCCTTGCTCTAAATTGTCTGCCAGCCAAGACGTTCTCTTTTTTGAAAATGACTGGCAGAGAAAGCGTTAACTGCCTCTAAAATTGTTATTTACAACAGGGGCCCCCAACCTTTTTTGCCCCACGGACCGGTTTATGTCAGACAATATTTTCAAGGACCGGCATTTAAGGTGTGGTGGAAATAATACAACAAAATAATATGGTATGAGCTGCATGAAAACTGTGGTGTTTTCGAAATATAATAATCAACACAAGGAGCGTCTAATCTGGCCGCAACACTCCGATCGCTATGGCAATGTTTAATCACGCTTCTGGCAAAAAAAAAAAAAAAAAGAAAAACAGAAAAAAATGCAAGCAATTGATGCCTCCCCTTCAGTTGACAAACAACTACATCCATTCAAGGACTATAAAAAGTAGTGTCAAGTAATGCGTTCTTATTGTATTATCATTTTCCAAATGGGACTGCAGCAGAATTGACCGTCTAATCTTGTCTTGACAAACGTGACTGACGAACACCTTTATTTGATGGGAACATCTCCATTTTTTTTGGTGTGAATAATTCCTCTTCAGATTTTGCTGGAACAATGTGTAAAAATAACAGATGATGTGAAGATAGACTAATGGTATCTATTAGTACATGACAACGAAATTAGACTGTTGAAAAAAGGATTGATAATTGTTGATATTGTTCATTAAAAAAATTTGCAGCACAAGAACGTGATTAGCGGCCCGTCAGTGTTCAGCTAAATAGGCGCAGATTTCACGGGAATAAGTTTGTCATCAATCTGAAAATGTATTTAGATCTAACAATAAAATACAACCACCCCGGCGAGGTATTTAGTATGATTGTTAACTTGAGACGTTGCCCTGACTGTACATAAGGCACACACTCGCTGACAGTTCCAGGTTCGCCATCGGCACGCCTCTGGACTCACCCCCAGGTTCCAGCTGTTGAGCCGAGCCTCCAGGTCACTGTCATCGGGAGACATCTGCCCCGCATCCACCTGATAAGCGGAAGGTTAAAAACAAGTGGGTACAAACTGGGAATTCAATGCCGATGATGAAATAAAACAAGGGAATTGAGACAATTCCCTGACAGCACTTTGACTGGCAGTTTGGCCTGAGGAACAGTTGATTATCGTGACAGCATAGACACGCTTCTGGCAAAAAAAAGAAAAATAAAAACAGAAAAAAATGCAGGCAATTGATGCCTCCCCTTTAGTTGACAAACAACTACATCCATTCATGGACTATAAAAAGTAGTTTCAAGTAATGCGTTCTTATTGTATTTTCATTTTCCAAATGGGACTGCAGCAGAATTGACCGTCTAATCTTGTCTTGACAAACGTGACTGACGAACACCTTTATTTGATGGGAACATCTCCATTTTTTTTTTTTTTGTGAATAATTCCTCTTCAGAGTTTGCTGGAACAATGTGTAAAAATAACAGATGATGTGAAGACAGACTAATGGCATCTATTAGTACATGACAACGAAATTAGACTGTTGAAAAAAGGATTGATGTTTGTTGATATTGTTCGTTAAAAAATTTGGCAGCACAAGGAAGTGATTAGCGGTCGAGTGGTTAGCATGTTGACTTCACAGTGCAGAGGTACCGGGTTCAATTCCAGCTCTGGCCTCCCTGTGTGGAGTTTGCATGCTGTCCCCGTGCCTGCGTGGGTTTTCTCCGGGTACTCCGGTATCCTCCCGCATTCTAAAAACATGCATGGCAGGCCGATTGAACACTTCAAAATTGTCCCTAGATGTGAGTGTGAGCACGGATGGTTATTCGTCTCTGTGTGCCCTGCGATTGGCTGGCAACCGGTTCAGGGTGTCCCTCGCCTACCGCCCGAAGACACTGTTCTTAAGTTTGGGGTCTAAATGTTTTCCCAGGCTTGGAGGGGTTTTCTCGGGGGTACGAAGCAACAGTGTACTGAAATAAAGCCGTACTTACCGGAATAGCACTTGTAGTACTTGTAACAAGTGGTTTACATTTTGCTTCAATGACTGCAAGACATTATTAAGCAATCAAATCTGCACAATTAAGAGAATTCTATCCGAGGGTATCGGCCTCTTTAAAAGCTTACATGCACAGGTGCTCCCCTCCAATAGTAAGACCGTTGTACTTTTTTTTTTCCCCCCCCCCCCCCCCCCCCCCCCCGCCGTTATCTCCCATCTCGCCACCCTGTGTGCCGTCACGCTCCTCCCTCCCACATTTGGAGCTCCAGATGTTTGCTGGTTCCACAAAATTTCTGTCACGCCGGGAATTCCGTAGAAGGGGAATAATGCCGCTAAAATGGCAAAGGATTCCCTCCCCTCCCACTTTGCCGCGGTCTTTCGTTACATTTTTTTTTCAATATGTTGTAGGATTGCTACTTCTGGGGGAGTGTGTGTTGATACAAGCAGAGTTTACTCGAGCGGCGAGTATTAAGAAGGAGGAAATATCTAATAACACTGAGATTGAAGAGAGGTGGATTGGCTGGGTGTAGCCGAGGAATCAGTGACTGGAATACCCAAAGATTAAATTACCCTTCTGATTAAAATGGTATTAAAAGCCTGAGCTGCTCATGAATAACACAAATGTCTCATCCCGTGTCTTGGAATGCCGAACTAAGGTTGTATGTCGCCAGAATTCACTGATAAGATATACCTCCAACAGAGAAGAAGTAATGTGAAGGAGGGCAGAAATCAGAAGCCAAGCAAAAATGTTTCATGTGGGGGTGGGGATTGATTCGTGAAAACATTTACAGTAAAGGGGGCACATTATCGAAACGTGTACTTTTTAATTGCTTGTATACTAACCGATAGGCCAACTAATCAGTTAACCAACTCAGCATAGACTACAAACAGTGCAGTGATAAATTGTGTTTCTATTTTGATTTGCTGTTAATGCCGCTTTGTCAATATGTTTCTTTGCTAGACTTCACACGGATCTGATTGGCAGATCGGATCAGCAGATATTTTGCATTGCCAATGCCTTGTCATGTCATAAGCGCGCGCGCGCACACACACACACACACACACACACACACACACACACACACGAAAAACAAAACAATCAGTCTTAAAAAAAAAGGCAATCAAGAGCACCTCCACTGGTCGCCATCAAGCAGTGCACTCAAAACTGCTTGATCCATTTTGCGGTTGACTCCACTCAACAGTGTGCCAGTCTGTCACAGCGCACTTATCGAGACAGACAATTAGTCCTACTGAAGCCCCACTACTTACACTTAAGTCAGACAACTACACTGGCAATTTTTTTTTCAATGAATTAATCGACGAATACGAGGTACGCCCATCCCTATTTTGAAGTGCATTCGGACGCCGGCCTGTGAGCCGTAACGTTTCCCTCCGACTTCATGACGGCTATGTTAGAAGGTTTTCAGGTCAGAAATGTGTATTTCCTCTTGTCTGCAAAGAATACATTGGGGGAATTTCCTTGAGCTGGGTGGGAAACAGACTTCTGGGCTTTCCAAAATGTGTCCTCAGCCAACATTAAAGAAGAAAGCCAATTATTGTGGTGACAATTTGTGTTGGCACCAGCAAGTTTGCTGCAAATAATTCAACGCGTCATCATAAATCTCTCGCAGGGACAAATAAATCTGCAACGCACACACGCAAAAATATGAAAATAAAAACAGGATGCCAGCGGCTGGGTGAACTCACCGCTCTGGCTTCATGTGTGGGTGAAGGCTTGAGTGAGCTGGAGGCTCTCGCTCCTCGTGGGGTCTTCTCCTTATTCAGATGGCGGGCTCTGCAATCGAGGCGGTTCGTGGGACAAAGAGGGGAGAGGGTGGTGGGGGGTGGAAGGCAAAAGACAAAGCTTCAGTGTAGTTGTCAGCCTGCCTGGCTTTGTATACACATCAACATGTCGCTGGCACCGGTTGCATACTTTGTGGTTTGCATCTCATCTCTTTTGGACAAACACGGCCGCTTTACGTCAGCCTCGTCCTATACATTTCAACATTTTGTCTATCACACACCTCAGTCAGTGGCTCTTCATTTCAATCACTTATGCCAGAGTCGGGTCATTGGGACACGTTTTGGCAAAAAAAAAAAAAAAAAAAAAAGTTGAATGCTGCGTTATGCTTCGAAACACAACTGAATTGAGGACCACGTCGTTTTTTGAGTTTTAATGTTTTCAGCAATTATCTTCAAACGTGTCATGCACTGAGAAAACTTCACGTTGCAGAATCTTTCTTTCATTCATTCATTCAATTTCCGATTTTTGGCACCTCGCAAGGGTGGCGGGGGGTGCTGGAGCCTATCCCAGCCGTCTTCGGGCAGTAGGTGCGGGACACCCTGAACCGGTTGCCAGCCAATCGCAGGGCACACAGAGATGAACAACCATCCGCGCTCACATTCACACCTAAGGACAATTTGGAGTGTTCAATCAGCCTGCCATGCATGTTTTGGAATGTGGGAGGAAACCGGAATACCCGGAGAAAACCCACGCAGGCCCGGGGAGAACATGCAAACTCCACACAGGGAGGCCAGAGCTGGAATTGGTAACTCTGCACTGTGAGGTCAACGTGCCTACTACTGGACCACTGGGCCGCTTCAGAATCTTTCAATTCTGTCATTTTATTACAAGGTCTTAAATAAGAATTCTTTGCCTCCGCCCTACCCGAGAGGCAAAGAAAGTTGTAAATGACTTCAAATTACTTGATTCGTTTTCATGATGAAACGCATTCAAATGTCTCACTGTGTGTTGGCTCGCATCCAGCTATGTGTGAGCTGCAGCATGAGTTGCGCTGAAGCGCATACATCCATGAAACTTGGAAAGAGGGAGGCGGGGGGGATGGGGAAGGGGAGCGGGGCATGCGGGTGGGTGTCGAGCTTCGCAATCTCAGGCCTCTAAGTCAACAGGTGGATGAGGATAATTGAATCAGATGTGTCTGGAGTCTGAGGCTCGGAGATCAAAGCTGTGGCAAGTCAGGCCAGAGTTACACACACGCACGCACACACACATGCGTAGGGAAGAAAATGAGAACACCATGAAGAGCCTCAGAAGCTGCAGCTCGCCTGATTAAAGCAGCCTGACATCAGAACACCAGCCTGACCTCCAGGTGCACAGCCAGCCTCGGGGCGGACCAGGAAATCAGTCTGACCTTGGGGCGCAAAACCCCCCCCAAACCCGCCCCCCCCCCCCCCGCCCCCCTTGAGGGCAACCTAAGTGAGCGAACGAAAGGCTAAAGCGTTTTTCTAAGGACATCGCTGGCGACTTGTGCCACCGCGAGGACGATCTGTCGCTGAAAAACAGACGGAGGAGGGGGAGGAAAGGGGGCAAAGGGTTAAAAGTTCTCACATGTGGATGAAAAGCACACAAATGGGAGACAGGAGTCAGACAGACGCACAGGGGAGGAAAAACAAGGACATAAAAGGGAGGCCCAAGAGAGGAGCTATCAACTCAACTTCAGCACTGAACTTGACACGAGAAGCAAGCCGGCCAAAATGAGCTCGGACACTGCACGTTTTCTCTCGTTTCAACATCACCTCCCCCTTTTTTTTTTTTTTTAACACTATGTGACATCACTGCACACTAATGCCCAAAGCTACTTGGCATGATTCAATTGTTTCTGCCACATTCTTGCACCTGGACCAAGACGACGTATTAGTTCGTGACTCCATCTTGTGGTGTCCTTTAGGACTGCACAACAGTTGTCATGAGGCTTCTGTGTAGTTACTGATTTTGTGGCCTGGAATTCACTGAATCAAATAATGGCTCAAATGATCCCAACGTGAACAAGATGTAAAAAGTCAGAGAGGAACACTTCATCATGAAGCCGCCAACTTGTCACTTTGTGTGGGACGCAGCAGCTCTTTGCGCCGGTCACAGGTGGAGAAGCCCAGAGTGGGGATATCCAGCCATCCATCCATTTTCTGATCCGCTTATCCTCACAAGGGTCACGGGGGGTGCTGGAGACTATCCCAGCGGTCTTCGGGCAGTAGGCGGGGGACACCCTGAACCGGTTGCCAGCTAATTGCAGGGCACACAGAGACAAACAACCATCTGCACTCACACCAAGGGAGAATTTAGAGTGTTCAATCAGCCTGCCATGCGTGTTTTTGGAATGTGGGAGGAAACCGGAGTACCCGGCCGGAGAAAACCCACGCAGGCCCGGGGAGAACATGCAAACTCCACACAGAGAGGCCGCAGCTGGCATTGAACCACCTCTGCACTGTGAGGTGGACGTGCTAACCACTGGACCACCTTGCCGCCCGAGTGGGAATATTAAGAATGGAAATCAGGCCCAGTGTAACATCACAGGGGAGAGGAAATTCTGAACTTTTGGAAAGAGACAACAAAATATTTACCTGGTTTTTCACATGTTTGTTGAGCCCTGAATGGTATCTTGTCAAACAGAGCGAGCCATTTTCAACATTTTACAACACTCAATAATTTGTAAAAATCCCTAGGCAGGGAATAATCAATAGTACCTACTCATGAAAAAAATAAAATAAATTGACCAAATTTGGACATAGGTGGTTTTGACCGGACGCTAGCAAAATACGAAAAACTAATAAATTCATTGCAGCTCGTAGGTCACGTAGGCCTTGGCAACCAGAGTGCAATAAAATACACACACACACACGCACACACACACACACAAGAGGAAAATAAGAATTAGGTAAACTGCAGTCATATTAGTGATATTTCACAGAGAATAAAGAAGATATGCCCGTCAGTATTGTTAGACTGTTGTGTTTACTCAACTCAACTTTATTTACAAAACACTTAAAACACAAGAGCAAGGTAGCGTGAGGATAAGCGGCTCGGATAACGGATGGATGGATAGTTTCTTAAAGGGTTCGAACACCACATGCTATTTGTGAGACGGCCTGCGGCATTTTGCATGATGTGTTCGCATGAATTTAGTGGACTTTGACTTCCCTATTTTAAGTTCAGTTTGGCAGGAATCATTTTCTTTTTCTCAACAATTATTCACGATCTGCCGAACTGCTGCTTGGTGTGAAATGAGTCCGATTGAGTTCATTGCTTCTGACATTCCAAAAACATTAGCTTCAGGTTAGCTTCATTCCAAAAACATTAGCTTCAAGTTAGCTTCATTTTAGAGTCGAAATTGTCCATAGGTGTGAATGTGCTTGTGAATAGTGGTTTGTCTCTTTATCGTAGGGCCCTTGACATTGGCTGAACACTGCAGGTGAAAAATCATCTGGGTTACGCTCCACCTCACCCGGGACTTTAAATGAGGACTAAAAAAATCTAATGGAAATAAAAAAGCTCACACGAGAGAGTGAGGAAATGAGCTGTTCAGCCTTCTCTTCACAAGTGCAAAAGCGCAGGGAAAAAAAAAAAAAGACGAAAGAGATGAGCGGCTCCTGGTGTTCTCCTGCTGTTTTGGAGCGCTGCCTCTTTGAAAAGTCCAAATGGACAGCTCCTGCAGACTGACGCAAGGAGCAGGCAATGCCTTCTGCTCGCTCTTCAGATACGGCGCCACTGAGCAAATACTGCACAAAGGCTACCTCGACATAAGCCATGTGTGTCTAGCTTGGCTGCCAAGTTCAATGTTTTCACGCCGATAAAGGAGCATGACAACCAAATGCTTGAGTAAATATTGAATGAGCCACGGGCGGGAGATTGAGATGCTCCTAGAGAGGCGTGGGTGTGTTTATTTACGCAACTTAACATCTCTTTGAGCAAAGGTGTAATTTCATGGCAGGGCCATTCTAAAAAGATTCAACAATTGAGACCAATAAGACCCTCTTCCGTGGATTGCAGTTGAAAAACGTACTTCATATCTACTGGACCAGGGGTGCCCAAACTTTTTTGACCGAAGATCTACTTTTCGATCAACCAACCTCCCGCGATCGACCCGTTACGCATACGCACGCATACGCACGCACGTACACGCTCATGCCATGATGAGCAATAGCCTGACGCTGAGGCATGCGACGCACTTTTGCAGCCTGTTAACGATCGTAACTCACGCGTACCGTTTTAAAGTGCTTCCCTCGGCCCTCCAGATTACTATTCTTTGCACGTGCCCTCGGTGAATTGTACACGAAACAAACTCTGAATGAGAATAATGATAACGATAAAAGATATTGCGCAACAGCTCTGATTACAAGCTGCAACTGCAGACTGCTGAGCGCTAACAACTTCCGGTGACGCAGTCACACGCCGCCGTAGGTTAAAGATGACCCGCTTTATTTTAGTTTCTTTTTTAAATACTTTTTGTGAACGTGAGACTGATAGAATGATTAGGGTGCAGTGTGCATTAACAAAAAATATATATTACTAACATGCACAGAGACACCATTTTTTTTTCCTTTACACCCCTCGGATCAATTTGGGACCAGTCCCTGATCTACTGGTCGATCACGATCGACGTAATGGACACCCCTGTACTGGACGAATATATACTGCATGTCAATGGCGGTAAAGAGTTTAATTGCAGTTCATGAATATAAACACCCACAGCAGTGAATGAGTTAAATATGGATATTATACAGCAAAACAGTACCTGGTAAAAGCAGTGTTTGGGGTGGAAGTGGTTCCATCTTTAAGCAAGGCGGCAGCCAAACTGTCCTCGTCATCCAGCTCTCCCATCACCCAGTCGGGCAGAGTCACTTTGCTGTGGTCCTCTGACCCACCAATCAGTGGCTCATCAAAGTAAATGGACTAAAACAGTCAGACACCATTTTTCAATGCTGTAAACTTGAGATCTGCGTTTTGTTTCCAACATTCTGAACAATTAGATGAAACTGCAATGATTACCATGTAAGTAGGAAGGTTCTTGAGGCTCCCATGTTGTGGTTTGCTGGCAAACGGCCCTTCTAGGACGCCTCTTTTGAGCATGTGAAGAAGCAAACGGGCATGCAGATTGCGGTTCTTGTGACCCGCGAGACTTGAGCCGCATGTTGCTGGATCGCACAGCTTCTTTATCCACAAGGCACAGTGCTGGCGCTCTGTTGTCAATGAAGACAGGATGAATTTGTAAAACAGTTACAGGGGACATATTGGAAAGTGACTTTTAATTGCTTGTACACAACTGTTTTCCAACACAAAAGCAGGTATTCTGCCTTTTAGACAACGCATGAATTATATTCTGTTTAGATAAAGGAAATGCGTTACATTAAAACACAATGACGAAAAGTTCTTACCAGTATTGTTGGGGTGTTTGAGGACATATGGTTTCATCTCCAGAACAAAATGGTTCAATTCAGAGTTCAGCTTTTCCAACGATACCTCATTTTTGTTCATGATGTCCTGATTAGTCGAACAAAAATTTGATTGACTATTAATCAGAGTTGTCGGGTACTAATGGAACATTAAATGACATCCCCATAAGTTAACAGGATGTTATTTTGACGTTCTTGGAGCTTGCAGTCAATCGACATCCAACAAAATCACTGCAGCGGATGCAAGCTAACAAGAAACACTGAAAGGAAGTCGGTGCAAAGTTCTCCAGATATTTTTGTTCCTTATAATACAACAACACGTCAGTACCGTATGTGCATAAACGCGACGAGGACGGAACATTTACACTTAAGTTTTTTCTTCAGGTACCTTGAGAAGCGCTGCAGCGCTTGGTTTGATTCAAAATCTCAGCGTCTCCGATTTACGCCACTTCCGGTTTCCACGACCGTTGTTATGGAAACATTCCCTGGTTATACTTTGACACGAGGTCCACATAATTCCAAATTTGAATGAATATACAAACACCTGGAACTATTTTCATGGAACGTATTTGTTTTTTCATATATTTTGGTCACCGATGGCGTAAAAGACAAGCAGTTATGGCACGATGAGAGTCGAACGCTAATTTAGTGACTTTTACAGTTCAGTTTATAGATGCCCATTTTACTGTGCCGCCCTTTGGTCAAATTGTAATAGTTTTGTAGATTGGTACCGCTAAAGTTTATACTTTGTATTTTTGTTTGACTGAAAAAAGATACAGTACCAACTACGTCCACACGGCGACGCCAAACATCTGCAGTTTGCGAGGCACTCTACAAGGAGGCGGTGGTTTATGCTGCGTTCATATACGCTTCGTATTTCCTAAAAGCAGTCGTTTGAGTTAATTTGAAATTTGCTAAATTTAGAGACGCACATGACACTTTTTATAATTTCCGTGGTTAATCGACGGGGTCTCTGGTGTTTGAAATAGATTGAACTATGGATGTTATAAAATCCCATTGTCATGAAACGCCTCGCCGCTAACGTCAGACTGAATGAAAAAGAAGCGCTTTGCCTGTGGCTCAGACAGAGAGGAGGCGTGCGAGCTGTCAAGAGGGCTCCAGCAGCAACTGCATCACTTGACAATAGCGGTGAAGAGGCAATAACTTCACACAAGTTGGCGCCGTGTAGTTTTATCGCCCCATCCCCTTTCCTCCATAATGGCTGATCACCATTTACATTATAACGACTCCGCTGGTGTTGGCAACAGATTCGCCCGCAAAGGTGCTTTGAGGCAGAAAAACGTGCACGAAATCAAAAACCACAAATTCACCGCTAGGTTTTTCAAGCAGCCGACCTTCTGCAGCCACTGTACGGACTTCATATGGTGAGTTTCGAGTTGCGCTTCAACTTGAAACTGAACTTTTGTTCGCAGCGCTGACTGTTTGTTTACGTTGCAGGGGATTCGGCAAACAAGGGTTCCAATGCCAAG